TAGCTCCTCGACGTTTATGTTCTCCTGATACTTTTTCAAAAATTTCGAATTTTTCACTCCAGTGAATATCTCCTCGACGTTCATGTTCCCCGGATACTTTTTCAAAAATTTCGAATTTTTCAACTTCAGTGAATAGCTCCTCGACGTTTATGTTCTCCTGATACTTTTTCAAAAATTTCGAATTTTTCAACTTCAGTGAATAGCTCCTCGACGTTTATGTTCTCCTGATACTTTTTCAAAAATTTCGAATATTTCACTCCAGTGAATATCTCCTCGTCGTTCATGTTCCCCGGATACTTTTTCAAAAATTTCGAATTTTTCAACTTCAGTGAATAGCTCCTCGACGTTTATGTTCCCCTGATACTTTTTCAAAAATTTCGAATTTTTCAATTTCAGTGAAAACCTTCTCGACTTTCATGTTCTCTTGATATTTTTTCAAAAATTTTGAATTTTTCAATATCTATACTTACACTTTTGCAGAAGGATATTTGGATTGATTAGTCGTTTACAAACAAAAAAACAGGAATTATTTAAAAAAAAAAAATTTGATGGCTGGGAATCGAACCCTAGCCGTCGGCGTGGAAGCCAAGCACGCTGCCAATTGGACAACTCGCTCATTCTGAAAATAAATTTTCATTAGTAGTATATCTTCAATATATTGAATAATTTTTTTCATTCGAAATTCCCAAAATGTGGCTTCCCCCTTCCGCTCGTTCAACAGTCGGCTAAATTTCAGTTAAACAAATAAAAAACAAACAGCATTCATACCGCAGAAAATAAAATTCACCCCGTCGAAATTTTCGAAGGATGAAATTCCACATTCCACCGGTGGCGCGGAGAATTTTTATTCTTATCTGATAAGGGAGCATTAAAATACAGAGATTGCATTGTTGTAATTGATTTATTTTATTCAGAAAATACAGATAATTGGAGTTAATTGCAGGTATTGGACACAAAAAATTTTCCTCGAACGGCCTTTCGCACTCCAAGTATATTCCGATAGTATGTACAAATGATTCAAAAAGTTAAAAATGCTCCATCAATCCTGAATTGTTAAATCTGCATCTGTATTTTCATTGAATAAATGTCTTTCATTCTTTTCTATGTTTCAATGTATGTACATCAAATTTTAACATTTAAAATTGTGAAATAAATAGCGGTAAGGCATTACTCCCTCTTTGAGTATTGTATATAAATGTACAACTATACGATGTTTATCTGAAACAACAGGGAATTGATGAATCGTTAGACGGCGTCATGTTATCGATCTTAAAAAATTTCATACTATAATTGAATTGAAGAGTTACTTCATTTTTCCGTCATTTTAATTCTTAGAAAGACGGTCGATAAAATGGCGAAAACATTTTGTAACTCCTCCCATTTTCTGAGATCCTGTTCGAAAAATCTGATTAGCTTGACATTCCCAGTATCCCCTCAATAAATTCATCCTGATTTTCCTATTCATCTTGCTCCACCATCATGCCGACAGAACGAAATAACTCTTTCCTCTTTTAATACTTTCACTGCACTCGTTTCATAAATCTCCCCAGACTTCGCCTGCCCTCTCATTTTTCCCAAAAATATTTCGCAGATGGACAAGTGCAAGAATATTCCATTGAATATTGATTAACCAGACCATTGTGCTCTTTAGATCCGTAATAAATTCTCAATTGACTCCCAGTGGATCGGCCTAGGTTTTGACATTGAAGGCGTAGGGATATCCGATCTCCTTGAGGAACCAGAAAGCACCTCCCAGGAACATCGTACCCGTGAGATCACCCAGTGCTGTCAAATACGGAATGGCCGAGTTATCAGGATCAATTTTAAACCTCCACATTGCATGAATGATAATGTGAGCGACATACAATAGCAGCATTATCTGAGGAAGATAAAATTCCATGATTAACGCACCTTCGTGCCCATTAAAAACATTCATTTGAAAAATTGAAAATAAATGACTAATTGAGAGCTCTCAGAAAATATGAGAAATATTTCTTGCACGTTGTAATTTTCACCACTGATAAGTGATTGAGGAAATACCTCGACAACTGACAACAACATTACGCGACGTGTCGTTAGTAATAAATTGATTGCTTCACTTACTTGCAAAAATGCAACGATAATGTAAGACAGGACAAAATAAACGTGCAGTGTTGAATGGTGTTGTTCAATGTAATCTGCTGCGAAAATGAATACAACTTCTCCTACGATTCCCATGATAATCAGTAGTCTTGCGGTATGAGCGAAGGGAACTAAGAAAAATGACAAAGAATTTTATTGAAATACCAAGAAACAATAGAGATAAATAATTAATATATTAATGGTACTCACCTCCTTTCACTAGAGCTTTAAAGGGACTAATGAATACTTTGGTGTAGGGTGGTATTATCCCCATGATTGATGTTTGATGAAGGGTTGTAGAGATTCTGGAAGCTTGAACTGAAACAAGATTGCCACCGATGCCATTGATAATTGGTTGGAAGATGACGAATCCCGAGAGCACATCAACTGCTTGACTCAGAATTAATCCCCCGAGTCTGCAATGAAGTTCAACAATTGCACGTTAAATTTAAAAGTTAAATTGCACGTTAAATTTTTTAAGTTAAATAATTGCACAATAAAATTTATCATGTAAAAACTGATTGAATATGTCACACACCCACTGATAAACAGAGCGGACAGAACGGGTACCCATCCAGACGTTAAGATGTTCCTCGTGTATTTATTTCTCAGGACAATGAAAATCCAGATTGGCAGAATCAGCAAGTATCCACTGATTATCACGTACACTACCCACACCTCTGCCTGCAGGCGAATAAATAAATTTGAGGCGATTATGGATAGTACACTAACAGATACAACATCTCCGAAAGAAGCTGCCAGTGGTGTAGCCAAATTATCGGGATTCATTTTCCATCTGTGCGCCGCCAGTATCACGGCAATCATCACGAGATCTAGAAATGAAGCATCTTTGATTAAGAGATTTATTTAATTGGAAATTGATGGTGACTTGTGGGGGAATTTACCGAGAAGAAAACAGGAACTTGTTGCTGTGCAGAGACTGGAGGCTGTGACTAGGAGTGCATGATCCCAAATAAAAACACCGTTCATCGCTGCATGAGCAGCTGATGCAAATATCGAGACTATTATTGCTGCTACAATAGCCTGTATTTGCACTAGTGCCAGATTGCCGATCACCATTTTCGCTATTTCACGGAAAGAGCTCATGTTACCTAAATTAGCTTGAGTGCATAGACGTGATGCTAGGCACATGTCGAGGTTTCCTTTGAGACCCAGCAGGGAAGGGACCAGAATGAATAGCTGTGAGACTTTGCTGAATACTTCCCATTTCTGAAATAAATTTTTATTCACTTCTTCCCTCAATATTATATATTCAATCAATTTCCAGATAAATTTCCAGATAAAATCACGGATTGTTAAACTCTCCGGAACGTAAAAAAACGAGAAAATAACAATTTTAATTTTTTCATAAAGAATTTTCTGGTAAATCTATTTATTTATTATTGATATAAAATATTTATTGGTGTTAAACTCACTTCAACGGTGCCGAGTACGAGACCAGCACCAATTGTACCAACACCAGCAATGAAGAACGGTACAGATACTTGAAGTGCAGTGTGTTGCCATCTTTCATCAAGAACACTTCGGCATCTTCCCAGAGAATTTTGTCCATTTGGAGATGCTGGATCGGGCTCTGAAGTGGCAACTGATGAGATCGTCACTATAGAGCATCCACTCGACAGCGAGCCATCTCCACCTAGAAGTGGTGTATACATTTTCAATGGATCCAGCTGTAATTACGGATGAATACGTCTGACGTATGTACGTCAGTAACATGATGCGCCGCATTGCTTCAAGATTATAATAACGTCAGGGCAATAACTCGAGGTTATCAGTGAGAGCGATAATAAAATATTCCATTCGTTATCGAAATTAAATGAATCTAACAGCAAATGTCAATGTCTTCCTCAACGATTTAATTTATTCAGTCTTGAAGATGATGATGTTGATGGTGATACAATTCTCACCTGAAGCTTTATCCTTGCCTTTATCGATCTTGGTGTCGTCCACAGCATTTCCCGATTTCAAGTTCTGCCCATTGCAGTCGATCTGATTGTACGCCAGGGCAAAGCACTGATTGCTCTTCTTCTCGCCTGACATTCCGAGATTTGGAATAATTATGGTATGCTTCAATGGTGCATCGGTGGTATCTGTCACCAGTTGTTCAGTGCTACTTTTTAATTGTACATCGTTCTCCAACTGCGATTCATCCAGTTTAGGGTCGTTTGTCGTGTGTACTCCGACCATGTCTGATCATTTAATATTTATTTGAATATTCAATGTTCAATTGCAGGTAGCAGTTATTGCTGGCAAGCGGAAAAACCACAGAGTCATAAAGATTGTGGATGAATTCGGTCGTCAGCCACTGCATTTACGTGAAAAAAATATTTAAAGCGAATACTCAGATAACAAGTACTTGGGGATTACGTAAGAGAATAGTTGTGAATGCTCTGGATGGACTAGCCACTTCACCGAAATATCGGCGTTAAATCTAGCCTTGGAATTTCACGTGTACACGTGATTTCGTATTGCTCGATTATTGTCGGATTTTTTAATGGATTATTAATGAAATTTAATAAATTTTTAATCGATTTTTGGGGCGATTGTCGTACCTGAGGTTGGGTGAGAAGCGATTCTTCACTGGATCGACCTGAGGCAATTTTGTCTCGGCCTTTCCGACTACGGACAATCTGGATGAACTGAAATAATTCAAGGAGGTATCGATAAACGATAAAAATCGTCAGACAAATGGTATTCCCAACGGAATTTCTTGATCGAACTCACCGAGGTCGGCGCTGATACTGATTGCAGAAATTACGAATGAGTGAGCATGTCCTTCCAGGCTTTACCTGCGTACCTGTACCTCTTCTCCCTGCCAGCCTTAATCTGTCAAACCTAAATATAAATAATGAAAAATCATTATCAATCGTCAATTACAATTTGCTGAATGTCCGTGGATGATTGGAAACTCGATTGTGGTTGTTAACGCTGTGGGAGATGACAAGTTGATTGGTCAATTGCACGTTGTAAGGGTATGGAAAAATAATATCTGAGTGATCAAGCAAATTGCCGATAATGGCGAGTAATTGAAAACCTGAAAGCACTCACTCCCGATAGTCCACTAAATCATTGATTCTTTTCACTGCTGGCACCAATTGTTGCACAATTGAACAACTAATGATAATAATAATTAAGGATTAAAATGGTGTGGCTCTGTTATCGTTCGCGTCGATTGGACATTGGCATGAGGGAATAATTGATCGACAGGTGGTGGATCGATTGGAGCTTATCACATTTCTTGAAAATCCATTGGCGGTCGTTCAAGTACCGGTTTCATCGATTCCGGAATTGATCGCCAGTGAATCGATAAAATTAATGAATCATTAATTCTCAATGATGTATGCTTTTTTTTTTGCAGGTTCATCGTCGATTCGGGAGTATTAATTCTATTAATGATTTATCGATCTTCCTCGGATTATCTCAGGATCGTTAAGGGATTAATCGTGTCGTAAAATGTCAGGGAGATGACTGAAATGAAAAATTATATTTTCGATAGGGGTAGATGCGATATAATCGCACCACTTCCACTCGCTCGTGCGTAAACTCGGATATCAGCGATACGACTAGACCTGTTTCCGCTGCCATGTGATATTCAATACCGCATAGAATCAGCGAAAAAATATTTCTCTGACGTTTTAGCCCGTCTCCGATGACAATGACCGTGTGCGCGTGTCAGATCTTCATTGTTACATTTTCATATTTTCGTGGTTCAGTAAAAATATCGGTATCAAGTTGCGACTGTGACCCCCAGCGATGATTATCGAATGTATCATTATTTTTTTTTTTCTTTGTTCGTTAATAGGGCGTCCATTATGCGATGCCATGTTCACCGAGTTTACAATAAAAAATAACAGCGGATAGATTAGGATACCCTTTGGACGTTATTATTGCAATGTTTTTTTATTTATTCAATATTTTTGAACTTTGGAGTAATTGAAGATTAATCGAGTATCGGGTGTTCCATCGGTTGCAGAAATCCGATTCCATCGGGCACCAGCGAATAATATCATTAAAATTAATTTCATTAATTTGGGTATCGAGTTATAATCTGAGGATGTTTATCAGTTAACACTTACGAGATATGTAGCGCCAGTGTGTCGATTGTTCTCGATTGAAACGTTGAAAAAATAATGGGATATCACGAAAATCACAATTTTTGAGATATCGCTTGGCGATTTAATGTTGAGAACAGTTAAATTGATGATGGAATGATGAATATTGCTGGATTATCGGCGAGATCAACGACTAGTGCAATTTATTTCGCGTGTTTCTGATTGGTTGACGATTTGTTAATTTAGAGTAACGACAAGTCGTGCGTTTGCTGCACGCGACCGCACTGGACTGATAAAAAAATGTCCCGTTCTATTCTGTCTAACTTTCCTATACTCGACAATAATATGCACTGAGAGACGACACTCGGTGTCGGCAGAGACACGTGTGATACCACTGATAAAGGAAGAGAGAAATAAAGAGGTGGTGGGTAGTGTTTAGTCATCACGATTTCAATCCGCAAATCGAATATATTATTTCATATTTTTCATTATTACCTATTAAATCAATTGACCGTGAGTTTTCTGATAATGATAAATGCAAGATGGCGGTTTATCTGTCAATTTTCTAAGATCAATGTTGTGATACGAGAAATCACGGTGCGGGAATTTTGATAAATTTGTACGAGTGAATTAGCAGGTGAGATAATACCGCGTCAATATCAATTGCGTTGGTATTTTCCTTGAACCAATTGATTTTCACTGACACTTTATTATTCACTTATATTATTTATTGGAGTGAATGTCTTGGGGTTTTACTTTGGTCAATTTACCAGTTCGGAATTACACTTTGTAACATGCACTCACGTATTGTCATCGGTATGTAGCTAGGATGATTGTAGGTTCATTGTTGAAATTGTATTGTGGAATGATTGAACCATGCGAATGACTCGGCGATTTCGATGCCAGACAGCACTAGGAGAGGATCTGCCACTGCCGATCATCGGCAACCTGAGTCCATTTGTTCCACTTAATTTTCTATTATCACCCGAAAAATAATCTCTATAACAAATTTCCCGGGTATCCTAATCTTGTTAATTATCAGTGACGATACAAATCAGCTGGTGGTGATTGGCAGTGCGTGCTGATAGTCATACCCCTGAATTTCGTGATCTCGAGTGTTTTGAAAATGAGTCAAACCTTGAGATAAAAAAAAATTATGAACATCCCATTTCAATATTCATCACTGCCCAATAGTAATTGCTCGTTGGAATTTGTTAGAATGTCATTAAGTGAACCGTGTTCGTATGAAATTATTATTTATTTATTTTCTTTCAAATTTATTCCATTGTATTTTTCTGGATGGTGACGTATCTCCTCGTGAGCTTCCTCCATCGACGTTAACTCCATCAAAATAAATAATTCATATTGTTAACGACTAAAATGAATGACAAACATATTGCAACTGATAAATGAACGAGATTTATTTGCCCGCACACTTAAAGTTCGTTATGACAAATGGTGAAAATATTCAGGTATTCCTTTTGTGGAATTGTCTCTCATTCATTTCTCAGTGATATCCATAATATTTATATCGACAGCATTAGTGCAGGTGACGAGTACTCGAAGCCTTAAGAAAAGAGAAAATCGTCGATAAATGATGATCGGACTGAGAAAAAAATTCGGAAAATTCAAACGCAATTATTATCACAAAATTATCACAAAAATGCGCTTGATCCGATAAATAATCGTAAACATTGTCATCTGATTTTGTGGAAGATTCAACTCATCAATTATCTGGAGAAATTAAATTTCCTAGACTTAATTGCACATAAATTCTGATAATACATGTTGCTATCTCACTCTACGCACCCGTCAAACTGTCGATGTCATAATTAGTTTATTACCGCCAGCTGCTATAAACCACCAGGGGATTTCCAATTGTTTGGATCTCAAGGATACCTACCTTGTGGAAAGGGAAATGAGTAATTGTGCGTTTAAAATGCACGTCAGGTTAGCGGCATCTTCGGGGAATCATTTCTCCTCACGAAATCACGAATTTATCCTTAACATCGACAACTGCTCGAGCTGTTGACTGCTGATGATAGCTAAGGGAATACCGAAAGGGAATTCCCCTGTGTCGATAATGCTGTATTGAAATGAAAAGTCGATTCTATCTGAAAGCCTTATCGAGTCTCTCCTTTTTTTTTTAATTCAACACCTCAAAATCAAGTAATTGATTGTAATTGATTCCACTTGGTCTCTAATTAAATAATTTCTCTATTTTTTTGTCACGATTATTATAATAATAATTATTAATATTTTCTTCTCATTCTCGTGATAATTGATAAATTGTCAGGAGAGTAATGAATAATTTTAAATTATTAGGAATTGGAATAATTATCCGAGCAGCAATGGGATTCATTGATTGCAATTATTTTTACATAAAGATTGGCGAATTCCATGGAATAATGACGTCAATGAATTGAGGAAAAAAATATTCCCCAGGTGTATCCCAGAAAAGCTAGAGATACCGGTGGCAATTAACATTCAAATAGGACGAGGAAATCCCGATGAAAAAAAAAGGTTCTCATTAAAATTCTTCAGCAGTTGGTTTTAAATTTTATTTATTTATGGTATATATGATCATTCATAAGTCTCGGAAAAAATCTTACAAAACCATCGATCGATGATATGACGAAAAATGAAAAATTATAAACTTTTACTTCAATAAATAATGTAGAAATGTGAGAATTCCCGGTGAATTATTCAACACATAATAACGAAAAGTCGATATCATAAAGTGTCGGATATTCAAATACGGACGACAACAATCCATGAATTTTCTCTCATTCCACAGCATTAATACATTATCAACTAACAAGTTACTTTTTCACGTTCTTAAATACTTAAACCTATTTTGATTTTTGCTCGTTTGATTTTTCGCTCTTCACTATCTCATTTTACCCTAGAAATTTTAATCAGTAGTTTTTTTTTATTTTAATTAATTCAATTCTCCACAAATACCAGTAATTGCGACTAAATTTTTAAATAATAGCAGTAATTTGTGTTGCTCCATGAAATAACGATTACTGCCTCTTCACAATCGCGAAGACGACAACATCAATCGATATTTATTAAGAATTTTAACGAATCACTAAAAAAAAAACTGAAAATCACAGTCGTACAGTTTTGAGTCAATAAAGAGGATGATCTATTAATTCGTTAATTTTCAATAGAAATTAATGAGAATACTAGCATCATGTCATTGAACTTCAATTATATACAATTTTAAAGAGTTTACGTCGTATTCTAGATATCGAAGGAACAATCGTTACATCCCTCTCCAATTCTTCTCACTCTCTGGTTTGTTCACTTATTTTCCAAAGGCCATTTTGCCATTAATATTTACAAGTGTGCCTAACAATATTCATAATTCGTTTGTCAACGTAATAATCATCGATTGTGATCACCCAATGGATCAATTACAAAATTCACTCTCGTTGAATTTTCCATTTATCTCCCACTCATCCTTCAATTTATTATAGCCCTGAATAGTAAAACACTTTAAACCTATTCTCGGAATACATAAACTCTTTTAAGAATATATACTTTTTATATCATAAATATTTATCTTGACAATACTTGTATAATTCACGATATTATAATCTCATTTTGATTTTTGTTGCTTTTTGAACCGTTATCATATTATCAGAGTGCATTATGCACTTTTCCCATTATCTCGTCCATTAACTTATCTACTATTATCTCAATTTCACGCGGTTTTCTTATTTAATCTGTCGTAAAATATGTACCTAGGGTGTGCTGAGTGCTTGTATAAAATTCATGAGAGATGTGTGTCCGTTTCACAGAGAAAAATAATTTATTCTACCAAATATCGCAGAAGAAAATTGTTTTTCCCAGTGTATCGTTTTAATGTGGAAATACGAAATAAAATTTCAACCACAACTCAGTCACTCGTCGCGTCTTCGCGGTGAGATTTAATTAAAAAAACAAATATTACTATTGAACGATTATTATCGCTATCTGTAATGATATCAAAATATTGGTCATGCATCGAGGTAAAGCCCTTGATAATAAAGTAAATATCGACATTGAGAACTTGAAATGAGAGATGACTGAGGGGACGTGGAGTACCTCATGCAAAAATTCACGCAGGCATCTGCTTGGTCGTACCCATTACACCTTGATTAAAATATTAATTACATCAGAGCTTGTCATTAGTATCAATCAGAGAACCTGAGTTGTTCAGATAAAAAAACTTGACACGTGTCCAACTTGTCACAAAAAAAAAAATTAATAAAAGGAAAGGTAAAGAATGATTGGGGCAGAGTAATTACTGTAGGATAAAAAATCCCCTTCAATTTTCCAGTTTCGATGAATTTTTTTAAAGGGAGAATGGGAAGGAGCAGGATATTTGGTCTTTTAGGAACTCGTGCCCGTGATGGAAAAATCTCCCATATGTTCGGATCGTGCCTTTTCGAACAATGGAATCGCTGGTCTCTAAGCTGGTGCACGAGGGGTTCCGATTTATAAAGGATTTCCAAAATATTGTGTAAATCAGGGTTGCACAATAATTGTAAAATTCAATCGATTTCATTGGTACGTCGGTGGTGCAGCTGAATTTTGGGGGAAACATGGAGAAATGAAAAACGTGGTGCGTACCCCAACATCAGATCAGTCTTATGACCCCTCATTTCTCGGTGACCCTCCCTCAAAATCCACACAATACCCTCCACACGAGTCCACCCTTGTATAAATAAAGGGTTGGCTTTCCATTGAGATTTCTCACCATCATTTTTCTGTTTTTACCCCTTTTTGTCGTCTGCTTTTCCCGATTTTACGAAAAATTCAACACCGGTGACACTCATTGTTGTCCTCGAAAAACCGTTGGCGCGTGGTTGTAAAAATACTTTCTTTTTTTTTTTGCCGCTGTTCTTTTTTTTATCATTCTGCAGAGGGACAAAAAAATTATCGAAAAAAGTGTGGGGATCAGAGAGGGGCGAACCCTTTGAAATTTAGGACGCTTGATGTTTGTGCTCTTTTGTAGATGTTTAATACAACTGACGTCTTCACCCTTTCGGAAATTCCGGTATTGCTGAAAATTGGAATTCTGAATTCGGGGAGACAAATGGATTAATTCAGGGGGATGAGATTCTTTCGGACAAAAACGTCATTTGTGGTATTGTCATCGGGTAATAAAAAATAACATGATAATCCATGTAAACGGAATAACAAAGGACGGATGTACGATGGATTTTAAGGGCGCGATTTTCATCTTGTGTTTCTGATTAATTCACCCCAATTTTTTTTTTCTCTCCCCGTGCTTTACTCTCCATCAATTATTTCTTCCGCTCGACGTCAGAAGGAGAAAAATTAACGAAAAGAATTGGAGAAATTGTGAGGTGGGGGAATTATTACGGGAGGATGAAATTTTCCAAGTTGGCATTAGATGACGAAGAGGGGTTCGTCGGTTGGGGAAAATGGAAAGAATCGGGTGATATCGATAAAACTGCCCTGGAGAAGAAGTCGTGCTTATTTTTGGGGTAAAAGTGTAGAGCTGGGGGATTTGACGAGGGAAAATTCGAGCGAGAAACTAGAGGGAGACGCTTTGATAATTGTAATCCATTCCCGCGAGTTGCTCGGGCGTTTTGATGAGACGCAGAAGGGATTCAGAGGGGCCGAATTGAGGCCCGCAAAATGAGGAGAAAAATAAAATCCATATCTCTTAACGCCTTAGAATTATTTTACCAGTGGTTCGTTAAGTACAAATACATATTCACCAGGAGGTAGAATTTTTACGATTCATTATTTTCCTTTTTCATCTGAATTATTCGTACTGATGAGTGATCAAGTCATTTTTTTCGTTTATCTCTGGAAACTTTAGGTCAGATCGAGGCGAATAAATATATCGTTTCTAGATTTTATTATTATTTAATGATTCATCAATTTTTCGTCGAGCGCATGTTTACCGAAATTTACTGATAGCGTAGGAAAATTCTCACGTAATGAATAATAATAATATTAATAATAATAATCATCATCATAAGATTTGGCATTTTTTTTTTCACGTCAATTTAATCAGGGATTTTGTAGAAATTTGTAAAAATGCGAATGTAAAAAATGAGAAGATGTCGGTAATTTCTCAATGAAATGAATTTGAAATGGATTTTTACTCCCGATAGGAAAGGAAAGCGTCTACCCTCGATTTTCGTTTCTCTTGGAAAACATAAGATATTATTGATTTCTATACATGGCCGGCAGATTGTTGGACGATGGCGTTTCTGCGTGGGTGTGTGTACCTTATTGTGTGCGTGAGAGCAATTGGAAGAGAGAAAAATTTCTGGAAAAAGGGAAACCTTTCCCCACAGTGAGAGAGAAGACGAGTAAAATCGTCGTGTCATATTCTGGAAAGTCTTTCCCCTTTTCATTTCCACCTCTCACTCCAACCCACAATTCAGAGTAAGAATGAGCGAGAATGAGCGAGAATGAGCGAATCATTTATTTCGCGTAATAACGTGAAATCGATCGCAGAAATTCTCTCCCTTTTATTTCACCCCGAGTTGTTTCAACCCTTTAGAAAAAAATGACGCGTATAACTTCCGCATTAGGTGCCACGTATAGCTATCACCTTTTTTATTCCCTGTGAATTCGAAAGAGAAATGCTGTATGAATAAATAAATACAGAGGAGCAGTTTCGTATTTCAATTTGCTGTGAGGATCAATTTTGAAATTACACCGGGGGATAAAATTTAATGATTGTTCAACGAACGTGGAATAGATAGTCGATTTGAGAGTGTTTGTTCACTCATTTGTCTGTGGTACTCGTATCCCCGGGGGTATATTTAAGAGAAAAAAAAATGGGAAAAAAAAAGACACCACCGCGTTCCCCTAGTTTAGCACCCTTTGAAGATGGAAAGGTTGGGGATTCCATTGATGTTTAAACTGGGTAAATCGACGTACATAGTTCAATACGGAGATACCCTGAGTGCATAGTACCATGTGCACCAGTGAATCTGTCATGCACAATTGAAAAATCATAAGTAAACAAAAAAAATGTCAAATAAATGAAAAAAAAAGTCATTTGAAAAGTGTAAAATGAATTTTATTGTAAAATCATAAATACTGTCGTCAAAATAAAATATTAAATAAATGAAAAAATAATAGTTGACTACAATGTTGGACTAGCTTAATTATCTCAATTCGGAGTATTGTAAACCGCATAAAAAATGACTAGATATACATAACAGTAATACCTGTTATTCACATACTCTTAATTAAGGCTACAATATCATACAATCGAGAATTTTCTCTTCCACAACGTCTACACCTGCATTAATCGCAAAATTATGCCCCATATTTCACCACCCACAAATATATACTCAATCGATAATATATTATTCATATATACTTAAGAATTATACTTCATTTTTATTGAAGATAAATTTTGATTCAGCGCTCATCGATTTAATTTTATTCAGGCAATGCGAGTGTCGGGTGTGAAATTTTATTATTATTTAAATAAAAAAATCAACTCCCCGACACATGACGGATTGTACAATTTCTCAACGCACAACTCACACTCCAAGATTAATAATTACTGAACCCATGATTACTCAGGTAATAAAAAAAAAACCTAGCGCTGATTATCCATCAACAATAATCATTCACAATCACAAATACTGTTTCATATCCGGTGGAGCAATTAAAATAAGCATTTTCAACGGACACGGTGTCAAAAAGCCCGGAAAAAGCCATTAATCCTGGACAAAAGAAAATGGCTTTATCGTTGCGCTCGAGCGACGCAATTAAAAACAGTTATGACCATTTGCATGAGGGCGTCCATTTTGCATGTCATTGTGTCTTTTTTTTTTCCGAATTCACGTGCAGTCATAGATCTTCGAACAATGGACCAGGGGTTTCGATCACGTTTTTCCCTAAAAATTCCCCTCAAGGTCACGAACGCTGACCTCACGCTTCAGTTCCATGGATAGAGAAAAAAAAAATAATAAAAATAGGGAGGATCTACCAGATGCAGATTCTCCCTGACCCTCCCCTTGTGCACCGTGAAAAGTCCATTTTCTCCGTCTCCCTTTAATTCTCTGCGATCGCGATGAAAAATTATTCCCTTCCCAGTTTATGCTTTTCCCACTCTATGGACACTACCATTCAATGTATTCCCCGGTATTAATGGCCCTACAACTTCCTCCCCTACAGTATGTTAATGTATGCACGGGCATATACTAATTCTTTCCAATTTTTTGGAAATAAACCGTGAGCCCCGGGTAAATGATGATTCATGCGCGTACACAGTCTCCCATTACTCTGGCCTCAAGAGCACTAGGGGGGTGGAAAGGGGATAGGGGGGAGGGGGGGAGGCACCATTGATGTTGGGGAAAGAAATTTTTATGGCCATCTAGACAATAGACCTCACTACAATTCACCCTTAGGCATTGCGCTCCTTCTTTTTTCTCCGGATGAAATATGAAATTTAATATTTTTATGCGTTTTGTATGAATCTTTCAGTGACACAGAATATATCAAATATGAAAATAGCGAAAATACGTTGCGTGGTGGCCAGAGGGGCATTTTGCCTAAAACAAAGTGAAAAAAAAAAAAAGCCTCAAGTCTCGCGTGACTCAAATCGCCCGGGTGTACCTGATGGGTTAACAGCGGAGAGAAAGAAATTTATGTTAAAAAACATTCAAGTGTCGGTGGATATTGTTTTTTTATTTGTCGTCTAGTTAATTTTTTTTTTTTTTTTGGCGATTCCAGTCAGATGGGAATTTTTGGGAATTTTTTTGGTGTAGTAATTTTTTTCTAATTTTAATAATGGGGGGAGGGGGTGGAGGGGGGATATGCGAGGGGGCGAAAAAGTTGGCGTGCGTTCTGTCATTCGATTTCTACCTCTTCCTCCCTCTTGGGTCTAGTTTAATCCAGGGACTGACCGGTGTATAGGTTTTTGGGATGTCTCGTGAGGGCGTGCTGGGGCCCTTATTTTGTCCGGTTAGTCTAGGCCGGCTGCATTTGAAAACTAAATAACCGGCAAAATAACCCGAGTGGTCATTGCGAGCACAGCTGCCCACTTTCCAATAAAATAGCCACGAAAGGTTTGCCCAAGCAATCATGCAAGCAACGGACTCATCTGTTAGTTGAAATAATAATAATAATTGTAACGAAACTGCACCGAATGGTTGTTTATATGAATTTTGAGAATGAGATTCGATAATTACGTTCGCTGGGAGGAAGTCAGTAAATTTAATTCCCACCCTTTGATGCCCCGCGTTATTTCTAAGCTCGGGAAAAAATTGTTCTGCCTCTTTAAATTTAACATCAGGAATGCAAGGCACGGTGCATTATCAGTATGTGTTTTTCATTTGAGATTCTACAATGCACTTTATTAATTCTTCTTTCTTTTTTAATAATTCTTTTTTTCTTTTCTCAATTAGCCGCTCAATAAACGCAAGAGCGTTGAACGTTGATTTTTTATCATTTCTTGTAAAACTAGAGACCGAATACTCTCCGACTAGAATCTTCACTAATTACATTATTCTCATGATCGTAAATATTGCCTTCAGAAGATATTTAATAATTGAGATTATTATAATTTGGTACTTGGGTTTTTTTTTTTTTTTAAATCTTTGGTCGACATATTTTCATGTCAATTTTATCTTTAACGTATTTTAAATTCTATTATAATGCATTGGCTGTGTATACGATTGTACTTTTGTTGCGGGTTATACTGTGTCCACCCTGAGTTCAGTTTATAATTTCTCCATATACTTATTTTCTGAGTTAGTTTAGTCTCTTATGATACCTAATTGTTTATGCACGTTAAAAATAAGCATCTTCCAATATCTATTGTGCGTCACAATGAGAGCGATTTCAATTGTCAACCTTCAACTTTCCTCATCCTAGAATCGTTATGACTACAGGTGTTTCGGTCTTTAATAAGATAGGAACATTATTCATCACTCCAGCTCTCGCAGGTTGGATAACAGGTTGTATAATAATTATAAATCTATATGTACAACCTAGCATTGTGATTAATATATACTCATAACAACGAAGCGTTCATACGCAGAGTCCGGAAATGATCCAGAAATATTCCTCGAGTCCTCAATTGTGCGAATGCGTACGAAAGTTTAAATTTCCCGCTATATTAGAAGACCGAGGGGTTTCTCATCTGTTTCAACTTTGATCAGTCGATTTTCAATGCTCGATTCAATTATTTATTTGTAAAAGGACCGGCCGCCGAGTCTAAATGGCGGAAAAAAAATCGGGAGTCTCTTTAATTCTTGTGCAATCCGGTTAAAACTTGAGGGAAATTAACCAAAAATTTTGTAGCAGGATAACTGAATAATTGAGGACTTCCCCGATTTTTTCCACCATTTTATCACCCAGTTCTAATGATTAAAATGGCGGAAAAATAACCTAACTCAATTCAATTATATTACGATTGGTTTTTCCGCTAAAGCGTTAATTCTCATCGAGCGTGCGTAATTAATTAAGAGGATAACGAAAGTTGACAAATGACCGAATAAAAAAGCTGCAAACGGTACGTGGTATTTCCCCCGGTTATTCATAAAAAAATAATCATTTGGCTAATTGATGATCATCTGGTGTGATACTCACATTGACTCCACGAAGAACAACTACGAGATGATTGAGGCTGGACTAAGGGTAAAGGAAGCAGTCAGGACACTGTTGATACGTGTACGTACCGGTAGATAAACCAGAGCTGGTGCAAATCTCCCGTCATTGCTCGACGATTCATCGCCAAATGCAAAATTTCGCTCCTCAAGGATGAACGGCTGCATAATCGTAGCATCCGGATTGGAGTTCATGTCCTGTGGCATTGCATAACTAGCAGGTACTTTGTGCTTATTAGCTACATCACGAAGTGTCTTACTCAGCTCTGCAATAACACACTCCGTCGGATCACCCCTCGCTTTATGATTCTTCTTCACGTGGCTCTTTATTCTGTGAAGATTAGTCGTTGCAAAACCACACTCAGCGCACTTGTATGCCCCCTGAACAGTTACATGCACAACGCCGGACTCGTCTTTCTGATTTTTGGAAGATTCTGTTGGTTGAATTGGTGAATTTATCTGGCTATCAACCGACCTCTCATCCTTCAGCTCCACCTCCTTTTGATCGACATCGTGACGCTCCTGGGTATCAATTCTTGGATCACTTCCCATCAACTGTTGATACTGAGACAGTAAATTTGAGAACTGGTGTTGAACCACTAGGTGATGATGCAGGGATTCTGGCTGGGGAAATGTCTGAGAGCAAATTGGACACTGGAGATTACTATCAGTTGTTATGCCCTCTTGATTAGGCATGTGTGATCTCTCGTGGAGAAATAGAAACGGTAGAACAGGTGTTGTGAAGTTGCAGTAGGAGCATCTGTAGTTCTTATTCTGGTGCTCCTCGTTACCGCCAAATAGGGTGGAGAGCACCTGATTGCCTAGTCCTCCGTAATCGGTGGCTTTGATGTTCTGACTGATGTCCAGTCCATTTGGAATTTTTATATTTGGATTTTGCTGGATCAATTTGCTGGACGAACCTATTTGTCCCGGTCTAGTTCTACCTGTATTTTGGTACTGCTGCTCCAGCTCACGCCATTTGTCGACACCAGTTTTTCCGTGATCACCCAGGAGATGGGCCTTAAGCCATTTGATACTCCTGAATCGTCGATTGCAGACAGGACAGACTTCGTTGAAATGCGTGAAATAGCGGTGGCTGAGATCACTCAATTGATCAGGCTTCAGCGCTGCATCATCTATATTTGGCAGAGTCTCGAAGTTCTCCTGTTTATTACTGTTCACTGGTGCACCGTCATCGACTATCCCATGAGTGTTGTGCTTGTGCACCCGTAGGAAGTATTTACTGCACAATTCTTTGTTACAGATGTTGCAGATTACTCCACCAATTTGCGAGCCATTTTCTATCTCAATTCCATGCATCCTCTGCATGTGAGTCTTCATGAAGTACTTGTTGCAGAGCTCTTTATTGCATATTTCGCAGTAACTGGATGTTGGCGTCAGTGACGAGAGCTTCTTGTCCGGTGGTGGAGGTATCGGTGGAACTGGGGGAGCTGATGATGTTGGTGGAAGGAGTGATGACTGAGTTACAGAATGAACAGGATGATTTTGTGCATTGTTAGAAGGAAGTGAGGTCTTCAGGGATGGAGGTGACTGTCGATTATGATCCTCGGCGATGTGTTGCTTCAGAGCGTCAGTGCTTGGGAATTCCTTCTCGCAGATCGAACAGAAGGACGTGCTCCCAGTTATATTGTTCGACGAATTATCCATCAACTGATCAGGTGACAGGGCTTGCTCATCCGCCAAATGACCTGCGTGTTCCAGAGTCATGTGAGTCTTCAGGGCTAATTTATTTTCACACTCTCTTCCACAAATCTCACAAGTCAATGTTTTACTGGAGTCTAAACCGTTCAACTGGAGTATCATCGTCTGGAGTTTCTGAAGATCCTCGGAAATGGAGTCGGTGCGCTCCTCATCTCCGTCCAGTTTCGTTGATTTTTCATCATCACTATTTTCATGCACCTTTGCACGATGTATGCGATAGAGTCCGTGCGTTTGAAATTTAATTCCACAGGATTTACATTCATACTCCTCGGACTTATCATTGGACTCTGATCCCCCAGGATTGCTCTCGGTTACGATGAGATTAAGTGGACTAGTTTGAATCTGATGCCAGGTGGCAGCCGCTCCAGGATTACTAGGTGATTTATCATTATCCTGGATAAGTATGCCGTGTCTCTTCATCTTGTGCGTCCGTAGGAAGTACTTGTTACAGTACTCTTTACAACATATTTCACAAAAAGCCTCGACATTGAGGACACCTAATCGCCGAAGTCTATCAATACTGAAACCAGATTCACGGGCTTGTTGACTCGATTGTGGGGACAAGTGTCTCGGTGCTGGCATGAATTTCGTATCCTCCTGCTCAATCCCATACTCCTGTTTAAAGAGGGATTCCATCGCGCTCGGACTACTCCTCGATGCATCCTTATCATCTCCGATCCCTGAATTGTAGTCCCTAGATCCTTGTGAATCCAGCAGATCACTCTGAGAGCCCTCCACGTGACACCGATGCTTGTGCTTGCGTAGTGACTCCTCATTTTTAAATCGCTTTTGACAAATTTCACACGACATCTGCATCAGGGGTATCTCCATTTTCAATGGCGGTGGTAAAGACGGCGGTGGTAGGGTCGGCTCTATTTTACCCATTCCCATTGAGTATTGTAAATTAGAGTAGTGCATTCCATTATTGTCACCCGAGTTCTGCTGAGGTGTGTCAACATAAATTCCATGTTTGTTAGCTTTGTGCGTTTTGAGGAAGTATTTGTTGCAGAACTCTTTGTTGCAGAGATCACAGTAGGCATCGGGATTAAAAATTCTTATGGGAGCTGGACCAACTGGCATTCGTGGAATTTGTCCAGGATCCAGAGAGAATCCTGGTAATGGTAAGTACTGAGCAAGTGCACCGGGAAATGATAAACCAGATAAATGATTAGCCACTGAGGTTACGGCATTCTGTCCGGTCCAGTCTGTTGGCTCTTGCTGCTGTGAGTGACCGGACAGCCAAGAGCTTGGGAAATTCTTTATACCGAGACTTGTCAGATTCATGGGATTCTCGGATTCCTCTTGACTCGGTGTTTCAAGTTTTACTCTGACGTTGCTTGAGAAGAGATTACTTGGTCCGGATGATCCTGGACTGTTGTTGCCCTCGCGATCAAATTCACTGATGAGATTGTCGTCTCCTGCGGCTGTCGAAGGCTCTTCCAGTCTTTGACTTTTACTCTCGGTTGCATTTTCCAGTCTGTTAGCGGAATTCATCTCTCTATCGTCCTCCAAGTCCTCCTCGAATTCAGTTCTTTCGTTGGATGTTGAGAGTGACGTTGGTACTCGGACAGGTGTCGTCTGTTTTCTCCGTTTTTTTGGACTGCTCGAGTCGTTGTCCTCTCTCACCCGTTTTTGAGTATCTCGTTCATCTCCAACACTCGAACTCTCGCTGTCCACCTCACTCGATCCCAGACCGCCCTCCTGGACACCCGACATCTCGAATTTTACTCCAGTGATATTTCCTCCTGGTCACACACGTGCCCCACCACCGCTTTGATTCTTGACGCCCTGCAACCAAAAGCCACCATTTTTTTATATTTATTCTTCATTAATTATTCTTGGATTAATTAAATTTTCAGATCACTGAGGTACCGATGGGGAGAAGACTCTCATTCGATTATGTATTAATGATTCGTCTGATGCCTTGGTGCCCTCGGATTCAATAGATTATTGGAAATATTAGAAAAACCGGTGAAGGGTGAGGGAATTGAAGAGAGCCTGATGCACATGGCATTAATTTGGAATGTTATAATGATTTTAGGTTGGAGGAAAAATCGACGCCTGTCAGGGGTGGTTAACGAGTATTCGCCACTGACATCATTGGGACGGGGAGGGAAAAATCCCCGAGAGGGGGGGGACAAATGAAGAAAAAGAAAAACGAAAATTGTCAGGATAGTGGAAAAGAGAGTGAGACACCCTTCGCCCGATGGATAGGCATGCGGTCGGGGACCAGAGGCGGGTGAACGGGGGTGCACATGACTCATGTGTACGCCCCCATTTTTGGGGATAAACTCTGAAAACCCTGATGATATTATTTCCGAGTATATGCTCCTCCAGAGAATGGTGAATCTATGCTGAAATTGTGTGATTGTAATCTGCGGAATATTCGTTCCCGGTTTGAGACCGTTCCCCCCAAAAAATACCGATTTTTAAACATTTTTTAAAGAATTGTTTATCGGTTTCACCCGAAAACAAATACCGATTGCCCGTTTTATGATTATTTTATGACTCACAAGGTCCGTCAATGCGCAATGATTTTTGTATTTATTTTTTCTAATGATTTATGAATTTTTGAGAGGATGGAATCAAATGTAATCGGTAGTTTTGGATGGAATCGCGAGTGTGGGTTTTAATAAATTATAAAATTCGATTGTTTGATTATTTGAATGACTGCAGGATTTAACGAGAATATTGATCGCTCGTTGCTTTAATATTTCAACTGCATAGATCTAGCTCGTCATAATCTGACAGCAGAACGAAACAGAATTAAATAAAAAAAAATATAGCAGTGTCATTTCCTGGCGTGCGAGGAAGGAGATATGTGTAAGCACTCGATAGTCCCGACAACACCCTGCCATGTCATCGCAATTAGGTGATACATTTTACAAACGTTTCTTGTTTCAAATAAAATACATTGGAAAAACAATGGGAAAATTTACCGAAGCACTTGAGAATATTGAACGAGCTGGTCCCGAGTTTTCATATTTGTACCCAATTCTGACAATTTACCACCCGTATATTCCCTTTTATTACTCCTCGTTCTCATGCTTTATTTGAATTGTCTACCGATTTTTTGCTCGATGGGGCAGTGTGTGAAATTAAAATAAATATCAAATGAATTCACGGTGTCACAATTGAACTGGCACAGTACCCACATCACCGAAATGGCTCCTCTTCTCTGGAAAAGTCCATAATAATTTCGCACAAATCGATGATAAAAAAAGTGTCACGAGCACAAGGAAAATTGGATTTCACACATTGCGCGAGTTTTCGGTGGTGTTCCAGCGTCCCCTTCTTCAAGTTTGATCGGTGCTGACGCGGAAGACGTCGTCGAAAAACTCCTGGACTGGTTTTTCTCTTTCTGGTAAAGGGCGTTATCGGCACGTGGCACGATTTCGTATAGGTGGGGAAGAGGGAGGGAGATCGGTCAGCAGAGAGAAGAGAGAGAGACAAAAAAAAAGTAAAACTTGACAGAGAGGGGATGACGGGGAAATTGAGGGAAGAAGTGAGGGGAGTGAAATTTTTGGGGTGCTCTCCAGCGGCGATTGGACAATGCCCCGAGTCCCGAAGGAATAATCCTCACCGGCTAAGGTTTCCAATTCAGGAAGAAAATAAGACCCGACGATTTCTCGTTTGAACGTCAAAAAATTTTCAGGGGATGATTGAGAAGTTGGTGTGGGGTGGACAGGGGGTAATTTATCGCGGTGAAAATTCTGGTGGAGTGAGACGAGAGTTGACAAGTGGCGGACGTTACCGATCCTTTTTTTTCTCTTCGTCTTCTTCTTTATGGCACGATTATGGAATCCAATTCTCCGGTTGCACTCGATTTTTTGGGCCCTTCTCTCGGAATTCACCACCGCACTGTATCCACAACCAATTCCATGTGCCCCCCTGTACTGATCTGTCACATCGCTTTTACCTCCCTACCACATACCCAATTCCCGTTTCCCCCACCCCCCTTCATGCGTTTTGTCATATTTTTCCCGAATTTTGAGGATTCCGAATTGATGGGTCGATAAGTTCGTCTCAGCTTGAATTTATTTTCCCACTGCGTACGGCTGTTCGTTTATTTTTATGTGAGAATCATGTGGGTCCTCCGGATTGAGAGGAAACCTCAGAAAAATTGCACTATTAAAAAATTACATCTCAAATTTTTAATAATTTTCAGACATGAAATTTCTGGGGAATTATTCATTTTTTACAGAATTACTCAATTTTATTTGGAGATCAAGTAATTGGTCATTTAATTATTGAAAACGGAAAATTCAATTGTATATTATTTTCAAAGTTTAAAAAATTCGAAATGTAAAGATTTGGGAATAATTAGGTCATTTGGGGTGAAAATAATGAACCGACGAATTCTCGTTCTCGTTCGTAATTTTTACCAGGAAATTATCGCTGAAATAATAGCAATCAGAGATAGCAGGTATGAGATTGATACTTGACGTAGCATTGAATACAGGATTATATGAATATTAGGTAATACCCACAGAGGGGTTGAGGTAAACGCACATGTCCCTCACTTTCTCTTCTCTCCAATATCGAAAAACGCATATGACACACCTCATGTGTGTATTCTGTCGTGTGCCATTTGACAGATCTTCGACGAAAAAACGAAAAAAAAAAAAAGAAAAATATGGAGACAAAAAATACAGTCGTAAATACGCCCGTATGTTCAATTTCAGAATTCTGGAAAAAAGGTCGGATCTTTTATTCGAAATGGGTGTACGTTTGTATAAAGGTTTTGACGCAGTGTTATGTACGCGGGTCTGGCTGTTTGATTGGTTAGAATAGTGGACGAAGGGTCGTATGGTGGTGGGGTGTGTCACCATCACGAGAAACCATGAGAAAAATGTAATGGGGTGACATCACAACATGAGCGAAAGGGTATGATTCGAGAAAAACATGTTGCGGCGGTTTTTCAAGTGGTAAAAAAAAAAGCTACAATTGGTGAAAGTTGTCGAGGGTGGAGGAGACCCAGTATCCACCCCTGGATAGCTCATAGAAAATTTTCACTCGATGAATAATATAGGAGACGCCTACGATTTTTAATCCCCCGAAAAATAACGAAAATTGTTGGTAAATTAAATTATTTCTCCACCCCTGACATATGGTCTTACCACCCAGTGGACTGATTTCTGCATGTCAATTCGTCTCTTGTGCCATTAAATACTCCGGTATTATATCAATTGAATGATTGAGACATGTCTTTCATTGGTATATCGTTGGTGAAAGCTTTCGCTCAACACGAACTCATCCAAAATTCATAGTGACGAAAAAAGAAATTGTAGAAATGCATGAAACTTCTGTCGACGTTTAGCCCTATAATTTATCCGAATGAGACTATCACCTAGCACTCTCTCCACGAATGGAATAAAGAAATGATGGCAGCATTTCCCACCGTGAATACATCAAGGAGAGCACGAATTTTCAAACTTTTCGCGGAAAGGGCAAATTCACGCACTCGATTCTCGGAAATGTCTAGATAACACTCACCTCTCGCCATTTTAACTCGATATGTATTCTTCATATCTTCTCGACATTTTGTTTACTAGCCTCGACACTTTTTTTTCTCTTTCTCGGACTTTTCTGACGTATCCTCTTGACTTTATCGATTTAATTCTCGATAATACAGTCGAGAGTTGATTGGCATTCCACGTCAATGACGTTTCACGGAATTTCAACAGTACTATATCGACGAATATAATCCACTAAAAATCTCTTAATTAAAACAATTTGGATTATAACAAGCAATTAAAATCCTTCAACTCCCTCCTCCCCCACCCGCCCATTTTTTAAATTAATCCAAATAAACAAATTCCGATTCATATTCCACAAAATCTGAAATTAAAATGATGAAATATATTTTTGATTAGAGATCCTGATGTAGCCCAGATAAAAAATTTCAAAATCTTAAATGATATAAAAATCCCTGGGGGTACTGATAGTTATTGAATTCGCTTTGTGTACATTTTCTTGACAATATGTGTGTAATAGGTATTGGGGTTCGATCACTAACGAGAATGAAAGAAATACGCGGAATTGTCGAGGGGGGAGGACAGGGGAGGAAAAGGGGAGGAAAAGGGGAGGAAAAGGGGAGGAAAAGGGGAGGAAAAGGAAGGAAAAGGGAGAAAAGAGGAGGAATTCAAGAAGGGATGCTATTTATTGACAGTCGACCATCGGAATCGATCGTCATAACCAAACAACTCATTCCCCCGATTCCCCCACAAAAAATCGGAAAAATAAAAATCATAATCACACCACCATTGATCAACCGGAAATTGTTTAATTGCGCAGTTAAACCGCGTAAAACGTTTTGGTACGTGTCAGAAGGCTAACGATTAAATTTGTAAAAGATCTGTCAGATGTGATTACGAGGGAGATCGACTGTCATGATTTCGGGTGGTGTTAACACTCGAAATGAGATGCTATCGGTCTCTGGATCCTCGAGTACGGTGTGGCCATCGATGTATAAAGCTTGAATCGTCACGCAAACTTATGCGTAACACGCAATAACGATAAGCTCATGTCGCACTAATGAACATACCCTCCCCCATCATTGCACGAGTATCGCTAAATCGATTGCAAAACGACTATCGATGCATTACCGATGATCTTCCCATTAAAATTCCAGTTCATCAACCAATAATTATCAATAATAATCAAATTATCAATCAATAATAAGTTAATAATCAAATTAACAACTAAAATCGTCA